CAGAACGTTTTTTCCATTTGCAAATTAAACTGAATCAAATCAGATCTTTATTAGTCAGAAACCCAATTGCATTTTAAAAAATCTCTAGTATTAATCGACAAGACACCTCTCTGAAGCATGCAGACAAGATCAGCAATATTAAATTCAGTTGATTTTTATTTCCAAGAGAATGTAGAGAAAAGCAGAGAAACTGAACTGAGGTTTTCTTCTTCATAACTATAAGAAGGATGATGAGTGCACTGTTGGGAGACCTGAAAGACCAGGTTAGGGAGAGATTATCATAGAGAAAATCTATCTGTGTGGTTGCTAGGAATTGAAAACAATTCGATGGCATATAATCAATCAATCAATCAATCAGTCATCAACTATAAGAACAGTAGAAGGAAAAAGAAAGAGAAGGCAGAGGACTGAACTGGTTTCTCTGGGCCTACATTTCAGAACTTCTCCAGCTTCAAATAATCTGGGACTTCGGTTTCCAAGTGGACCGGGTTACCATCTTCACAAGCGATAATAATCCTGTCGACAGCGCTGGTTCCCACATAGTTGCAATCTGGAGCCCACGAGCCCCTTTGAAGTTTGCACACTGTGAGGGGGAAGCTGGTGTCACTTTCTCGGAGGTCTCCCGTGGTTGGTTCTCCTGCCGGGCCACACACCGCTTGGATCTGAGGGACCTCCGTGTGGACAAATGTATTGATGTGTTTGCAATGTCTACTGGTTGCCAAGTGACGACGCTTCATCATGAGTTTGCAGTACCGTTGTGGATCTGGAGCTTCAGTCATTGGGTAATCCACGTGCTGCCTCAGGAACTTCTCAAAAGTTGCAGCGTTGGTCATGGCCAACCAAGCCATCAACAGGAGGAGAATTGTGGTTAGCCCAGGATGTAGCTTGTTCTTGGCCATTCTTGTCTTGGTCTTCCTCCGTAACTGATCAAGAGAAGGGGAAAAGAAGAGGGAATGAAATCAGGTGGGCACCGAAAGAGGTTGTTGGATGCCCAAAGTACAAAAACAAAATGGCATCTTCAAGAAAGGTCAGCGCGTAGGCTGTGTCCCCATTTGCACGTAACGTGGAACAGTTATGTCCCAGGAGCACCTTTTCTGCCTTTTCTCCATGATGATACCTTCATCTCCTCCTTGCCTTAATTAAGAATCAGTCTTCAGTTGTCCCTAGCATTACTAGCTCATGTGACAAGCCAACAGAATAGCTGGCATTCATTTCTGAGGAAGGGGAGGACAAATACATATATTGCCTGACATAGGAACAGTTGTAATCCTGGGTGACAATATAGGGACTGAGAGAGGTGGGCAGGATTCACACAACCCTGAATTAACTCATCTTCTGAGTTCACACGTTGTACCATAAACTAATGGCTGAGTTCACACTACGGCAGGGAAAACCCAGCCAAGAATAACACTAACCAAGCTTAGTTCATTGTGTGAACGCATCTCCTGACTCTTTATCTCTGATTAAGCATCTTGCAAGAACACAGCTGTTCTCTTTTTTCTTTTCTTCATTTACTCCTGAAAGTAAGTCCTTTTTTTTTTCATCGGTACCTACCTAGAAATGTAGGTTCCAAGATGCTGATAATTTGTTCAGTAAAATCTGTTTACTGTTTTTTTTTTCCTTAAAAAAATCTCAAACACCTCATCAAACATCCACCATTAAGCAGGGAAAATCCCTATTTCTTTAAAATGCTTCTATATTTTTGGTTCTTTAGAAGAAGATGAGATGGAGAAAGGACATTAATCATCCTTCTTCTAAATGCAGAGTATTGTACTGCCTCTTGCTCTTCCCTGTCACAAAAGGATATTAGCATCACCAATTTACATTTTGTAACAATTCAGACAAATCTCATAACCCACCTTGTGTTAAGATGCTCCTGTCTCATCTGGCACCGTCTCTGGATATCAATTAAGGAAGCCAAGCAGGGGAGTTGCGAGGACAAAACAACAGGAAATACCAGAAGTGCTTTCAAGCGGTAGCAAAGAGCCTTCAGAAATTGCCAGAGGCTTTCACACATTGCTAAGCGTCTGTGTCAGCATGAGGACTAGAAACCTTTTTGTCAAATGACAGCTGGTGAATTCCATGCTATTCAAAGGTGGTTGATGGCAGAAGGGAATGACAGATTTCCCCCCACCCCCTCCAATATGCTTCTGCAGTTGGTGTAATCCACATATTGCTGTAAGAAATAGAAAAAGGGTGCTTATCCAAAGCCCTTCAAACCTAATTATTGTCTGTGGACTTTTGAGGACGAGCTCACATTTACATCTCTGTTGGTGGCAGCTGAGATTCCTCCCTGTGCCAAGATATTTTAGCATGGGATCTAAAACACGCTATCAGCAAGCAAGCTTTGCTTCTGAATAAGCATACCTTACATGAAACTAATTCATAGATGTCCTTTATTAAATGTTTTTTTATTATGCAATTATATCAGCCAAGAAAAGAAACAATTAGATTGTCAAACAAATCAACCCTCGAGGCACGAAAGATCAGGCTCAAATTATCCTTCTTGGACACATTATGTGAAGATCTGTCTCTCTGGAGAAGGCTCTAATGCTGGGACAGGTGGAAGGAAAGAGAAAAAGAGCAGCAAGGGGAATAGACTCAGTTACAGTGGTGATGGGTGAACTCTTGGAAGACCTGAAGGACCTGCAGCGAGACTATTATATGCACAAAGGTGGAAAGATTCTGAAATACCCACAATGGAGGAATGGTTAATGAAGAGGACAGAACTAGCAGAGATGACAAAATTGACTTGTTTGATTAGGGAGAAGACAATAAGTACATTTATTGGTGACTGGAAACCCTTTGTGGACTCTTTGCTGAAAATGGAAAAAGATGAACTGGTGATTTATGGATTTGATGATTAGAAATGGTAAAACTGGGAAGAAGGAAGAAGGAAGAAGAATGTAATTTTAAAGAGGGAGGATAGATGATAAATGTCTTTGTAACTGCAGTAAAGAAGATCAGAAGCCACTTCTTTATACTTTTTTCTTTTTTTCTTTTCCTTTATCTTTTCACTATTTTTCTTTACTCTTTTTCTTAAATTTGCACTGCTTTTATTATTGTGTAAAATTCCTCTCCTCCCCCCCCCCCCCCCTTCTTTTTTTTTCTTTTTTTTTTTTTTTTTTTTTTTTTTTTTTTTTT